CTGCATAGAAAAAATAAGGTAGAACAGTAGTTGTTCTATTTTAAAGAAGCAACTTTATAACATATAAAGTTGTAAGAATAAGTTTTGACAAGCATGTCAAAACTTATTCTTGAATAATTATAGGAACAAAGCACGTTGAAAACTTTTTAAAATGGAAACTTTTTCATTATCTATGGGACTCCACATCAAATCACCCAGTTCATAAAAGCATGTGTCTTTCTTTTTGTTTTCTTGTCTTGACGCATGATTTATATTTACAAATAAACATAGCTTGCAAAATTTAAGCTAAAAAATTTGAGAAGTTAAGTAGATATACCAATTTTGATATTGAATTGGTTTTCTAAAATGACCTAATTTTTGTGACATTAAAAAAATATATTTTTTTAATGTCACAAAAATTAGGTCATTTATTAAATAATTATAAATATTAAAAGCAAAAAAATAATTTTTTTTGCTTTTAATATTTTTAGTTATTTATAATTATATATGCCACCCAAAACCTATTAGGAAAAATAACAATAACATGTAGAATTATAATTTTAAAAATACACTACTCTTTTCAAAAATTACTAAAAAATATTTGCAAGTACAATAAAAATAAATTAACTGTAATTTAAAAAGTTACTTAAAAACATACAAATTTTTTAAGGTATTGAAGACATATATTTTTTATTAATATACAATTAATTCCTAGAACGATTCTAATTCAACACTTACTATCATAGATTTATAGATGGCTACATAACCTCCCAAAGTGACAGCATCAGGTTATAGTATCTATCAATATATCTTGTTATTTATTTAAAGATTAAGGATTATTGTGTGGGTAATGTTTGCACTACACCTCTTTGTCCCAACCTTATTCCCAAGATATATAAACTGATCAAAGCTAAAAGTACCAGGTAGAGTTGTTATACCATTGTACTTTTCTTTGTTATTCTCTAAATTGCAATTGTAATTCCAAGCCTTTTATGTAAGTGAAATTAACAACCTTGATTTTTTAAATACAAAATTCTTAAATGGCTTCTGATGTGAGAACTTTGGTATGATCTTTTCAAAATATCTTGCAGTTTTAACCTTTTTACAATATAACCAGGCTTTGTCAGAAATGGCATGCGATCAAACACTATTGCTGACCACAAAAATGATTTTTTTTTTGTAGACAACCTGACCACGACTGTTTAGATATTTTGATGATTTAAGCGTTTCAGAAATGCGTAGAAAAAAGAATTGCTAATCTAAACTTTAATTAGGAAAAAAATTAAAAAAATTAAAGAAAAAAGAAAACAATTACTTTGAAAAAAAAAATAATTATTATAATTTTTTTTGAAAAAAAAATATAAGCTTTAAAATAAATGAATGTTTAATAAATGAAAAAATTCTATTTAAATTATTGAAAAGTGAAATTAAATTATTGAAAAGAAAAAAAAAAACTTTTAAATTGCATTGCAAATATTTTTTTCAAAAAGTTGCACAAAAAAGTTTAAAAAAATAAAGTAGTCATTTTAAAATAGTAACTTTTAATCATTTTATGCTTAGATAAGTCAACAACTTTTAACCATTTTATGCTTAGATAAGTCAACAACTTTTAACCATTTTATGTTTAGATAAGTCAAGTTTGAAAATCAAATAAAAGTAAGTATAAATAGTAAAAGTCAAGTTAAAAAAAAAAAAAGTTTTAAACAACTCTGTAAAAATAGAAACAAATAAAAACATAAAGCAATTAAATCATTTCATTGCAATTTTATTAAACTTGTAATTTAAAGTAACATTAAAAAATAATCTTTAAAAAAATTTTTAGACACGGAAAAAAATTTAAACATAACATTTAATTTAGGCAAAATCTGTTTATTTTCAGCAATCTTTATAATTGATTTTTTATTTCATTTAAAGTCTTCTCGTAAAAAAAAACTTTAGAAAAGATCAATGATTAAAAACTATTCATAACATAACAATTTTCATTGTATTTAAATTGTTAAAACATCAAATCATTTGTTACAGAAAAATGTGAAGACTTTTTGTCAAGAGAAGTGTATTAAGATGAGCTATCAAGAAATAGAGCCACTTTAGATTTCATGAAGATCGTTTTTGTAGATAAGAAACAATACAGGAGCAAAGGTAGAACCTTGTGGAGCCCTTAAAGTTACTTGAAATAAAAAAGATGGTAGGCCTTCAAGAATAACTTTACTACTGCAGTTATAAAAAAAATCATTTAATAACCTCAAAACCTTTATATAAAGAAACTAATAACATAGTTAAAGATAATTATAGGATAGTTGGAGAGGCCAAAGTGTTTTCTAGAGTTTTGAAAAATTGGAACCACTTATTTAGCACTTTATAAAAGTTTAGCAATAATTGAAGAGAGTTCTGGAGAACACTTTTTAAAGACTATGATGGAAATATATTTTGGAGCACAAACTGTAGAAGTGTTAATTAAGAATTAACTTTAGGATTGAAGGCCAGAATGATTTGGATAACAATGGGTTAATCTGTTCAACTGTCAGGAAGAGTACAGTCATTATATTCAAGAGTCAAATTAGAATAAGATTTCTTTGCAAAAACTCTGCTTTATTCTGGGGAGAAGTAAAAAGTTCAGACACATGAACTAGAGATTAAATGTTAGACTTATTTTAATTAATGATATTCAGGCTTTCCCAGGAAAGGCGTGCCGTCGCACGCCTTGTTTGTCCACGAATAGAATAAATTTTTCTGACTAACTGACCACGTTTTATTATTATGCGTTTTAAGAATTCGCGCCAAAACAAAATACCGCAAAAATGCAAGCAATCTTAAAGTAAATAACAGAAATCTGTTTGTGCTTTAAGATTAAAAAATTAATGTATATTATTAAAAAAAAAATTTACCTATATTTTATTTATATATTTTTTTAGGGTGGTAGTTATTTAAGCTATGAAAAATCAAATCAATAAGAAAAATCAAATTAAAAAGAAAAAGAATAATGTTTAAAGAAAATAAAAGGACCTTTTAATGTAAAATTTGTTTATGACTTTTATCAGTCAGTAATACTTTAATATTCACGATAGAACTATAAACAATTTTTAAATGTTTCGTAAATACATTTAAATGCTTAAATATATTGATTTTAATGTTTGAATGTATTGATATGCAAGAAAACACGAAAATGATTGCTATTTATTAGTAAAACATGTTTGTTTTTTAAATGAAAGAAAATTTTATTGTCAAACGATTGAGTTTGACAATAAACGATTGAGTGTTAATATATAACAATGTCCCGAAGGAACTGTTTTCGTAACAATGACAACAGAAGCAATCCAATTATTTTTTTAACTTCTTTCGTAATTACAAAATTATGCGATTGAATAATTTCAACGTAATAAAAGGCAAGCATTGACTCAGTATAATCAGTTTAGAATAAGTCGAGAAAGAACTTTTTTCACATTAAAATTTTGTAATGTTTAAAATCTTAGATAATATATTTAATAATTAAAACAGCAATTTATTTTCTTGTCTAAGTATTGGGGAATAAAGTCATTGCCTTTGCATAAGCCTTCGTAAAAACTAAATTAAATGAAAAAGTTTAACCAAATTTGTCTAGAGTAAATAATGAATCAGTTTTTTAATACATTGTCTGATAAACTTTGTGAATAAATTACGTATCAAGTCTTTTTATTTTCGTGAAAACTTTATGACTTATCGTCGTCTTTTCCTTGACTTGTATCAAATTTCGAAAATAGCAACCCTAATAAAATAAAACAACAGTATAAAAATTTTGAAAAAATAGTTCAAGACTTTTTTTTTTTGTTACAACAATTTTTTTTTTTTAATTTTTTTTTATTATCAAAATATTTTTCTTACATCCAATTTCAATTTTATACTTTGTTTAGACTTCATTTCATTTTTTTAAAATTATTTTTTATTCTCTGTGGATAATTTCCGCTTTCTTACGAAATATTGCCGCGGTCACGTTTTCTGAAAATTTATTCTATGCGTGGACAAACAAGGCGTGCACGCCTTTCCTGGCCTGGATATTGTTGAAGACTAACCAAAAGTCTCTGGAACCTAACATCTGAGATAAAATACAAGATTTAGTAAACTGAGAATAACAGAGCTTAATATCAGACAGGACTTTTTTACATTAGCTTTTTGCAATAATAAAAGGACATTTGTTTTTAAGAGAGATGTTCCTGTAAAAAAGATTTTAAAAAATGGTTATTGTTTAATAAAGCAACTGCTCAAGATGGTGAAAAATGAGGAGTAGAATGAGACTTCTCATCTACTCCACTTTTTTTTTTTTCGTCTTCTCTTTTGGTAAATACTAATCCATATAAATAATAAAGTTTATATTACAATAAAAGAATATTTTATGCCTGCATCTAAATAATTAGCAAACAGATATGTTTATATCCATAATATGTATGCATAAAGTTCATCTTGGAAGCTTTTATTCCTTTTAGAATAAATGTTTGGAATCTTTTATTGTATCTTTTCAACTTTGACTTAAAGTTGAATATAAGTAATAAAAGCTTCTAAATATTTATTCTAGAAGGAATAAAAGCTTCCAAGATGCACTTTAAGCATACATATTATGGATATAAACATACCTGTTTGCTATTTATTTAGAGGCAGGCATACAATATCCTTTTATTGTTATATAAAGTATTTATATGGATTAATATTTACCAAAAGAGAAGACAATCAGATGAATATGTGGTGTAACTCAAGCAAGACAAAAACAGAAGACATAATCTTAGACAGATTCGAAAAAACATTGTATCGAACAATGTTAGTTAGAAAGAATAAAATAATTTAGGCATCAGCATGTAGAGAGGTACCAGCTTCAGAAGAAAAATTGTAGTGGTAGTAAGAAAACTTAAAGAGAGTGCCTTACATATTGTATGAATGAACTTTAGTTAAGAAAAAAAACAACTCTTGATTGTTTATATTAGAGAAACAGCATAAAGAGGAAGGTTAAAAGTTTAGAAGCTGATGATCATCATCATCATCATCATCATCATGATTGTGATGATGATAATCATCATCAGGCTTTAGCATTTCTATTTTATGCTATTGATGCTAATGATGATGATATGATCATAATAATGATGATGATGATGATGATGATGATGATGATCATCATCATCATCATCATCATCATCATCATCATCATGATAATAATGATGATTATAATAATCATAATGATGTTTATATTTGCATATATATACAAAATATAACATGAATTTTGAATTAAAAAAATATATACTTTAGGTTGTATAAATATTTATACAACCCCAGCCAAAACCCTGGCCTGGGCCCCGGTTATATTTTATCAAACCCAACCCCGGTCAAATATTAACTGCTACTAGTTTACTAGTTTACGTTTACTAGTGGTCAGTTACAGTGTGCAATTGCACGCCATTCCTGTTCAAGCCTGTATAACTTATCCTACTGCATGGCAACCTCTTGTGGTGAGTAACAAAAAAAGTTCAATTCAGCTTTACATAATCCTTATCATCTTGTTCATCTTTTTTCCCCAGTTTTTTCCTAGGAAAGATTTTCAAACTACTTCTAATTTTATGACTTTGTTGTAAATATGTAAAAATTTTCTATGTCAAAACAATTAAATTGTATAAAACTAGTCTACAGATTTGCTTTTATGCTTTAGAAAAAAAAAATCAAAAATTATATATAAAAAATATTTAAAATATGCTACAGCTACAAGTGATTTTTTTTGTATATGCATTGAATGGACCATAACACGCTTTTTGCAATATAGGATGTATGTTTTTCACAAATTATTGTTTTTTAATGTATGCCTTTCGCATAATATTGTCAAGTTTTCAATACTAAAGCATAAGATTTAGTTTTTTTTTCCCACTGCTTAAAGTTTCAATAACATCTTATTGGCCTTTGCATGCCTCTGATGTCATTAACCCAATAGCCAAATAACCCAAGCATCTTAATAAGATAATTTACTTGGTACTAACCATAAGAAGAAAGTATTTCTTAAAACAAATAACTAAATGATTTTTTCTTACTGAATTTTTAGTGTAAAAAAATGTGGAAACTGTTCGAACCTTTTTTGATTTCTTTTTTAGTATGATACTTTGCACTGATAAATATTGTTAATTTTTAATTATATATATCAAATTGTTAATTTTACAAATAAATATAATTCTATAACTGAACTTTAAAAAAGAAATACACCAGCATCACACTTGGTCAATTTTTATATAAAAATAAAAAAGGATGTTTTTTAGTAGATTTTAACTACTAAAATTTAATTAATTTTTTAATTATGTAAGACTTTCATAAATAACATAATTGTTTTTGTTTTTTTCTTTTCCTTCTAGAGAGCCTATAAATTAAATTTAATACTTAATCAGACTCTATTTGCAATTTTTTTTTTTTTAATTTATTGAAAAAGTGATACTTCTTTGAAATTATAGTTCTATACTTTTGCCCTTGCCATTTTACTTAGGAAAAAAATTTTTCAAAATGTTAAATAAACCTGGTCATTTTGGAAAACCAGATCAATAATAAAATTGAAATACCTCTGGAACCCCTCAACAATTTGTCATTTTTTTATATATATATAAACAATTATAATTTTAAAAAATACCTATAATTTATGCTTACTTATATTGATAAAACTCTTAGAAGGATTGCATTTAATTAATAATAATATTAACGGTAATTGATATTACTATATATATATATATATATATATATATATATATATATATATATATATATATATATATATATATATATATATATATATATATATATATAGATATATATATATTTATATATATATATATATATAAATATATATATATATATAAGATATATATATATATCTATAATATATATATATATATATATATATATATATATATATATATATATATATATATATATATATATATATACATATATATATATATATATATATATATATATATATATATATATATATATATATATATATACATATATATATATATATATATATATATATATATATATATATATATATATATATATATATATATATATATATATATATATATAATATATATATATATATATATATATATATATATAAGATATATATATATATATATAAGATATATATATATATATATATATATATATATATATATATATATATATATATATATATATATATATATATATATATATATATATATATATATAAGATATATATATATATATATATATATTTAAGAAAAGTATGAGTGCAATTAGGTGTAACCCATTACAGTTAATGGATTTTTTTATAATAAAACCATTTTTATTACCATTCTTGTAGCTTCAAGTCTACTTGATGGCCAAACATTCCAACTAAATCGAATACCATCACGATCTTCATTTTGATGTATAAACTCCTGATAAGTAGCCATCTTAGGTTGAATCGGTAACTTATGTTTTGATTTTCTTCTGATTTTGTTTATTCGCAAAAAATTGGGAAGTTGAGACACTGCGTCATTCTTGATTTCGTGGAACTCGTATTGCTAGGTCTCGAACGCTACTTAGCTAAACAAAAACCCATACAACAGTTTTCAAGTTTTCAAAACCCACACAACAATAATTTTACTAAAAATTTTCTTAACAGTTTTGAAAAAAATTATTTGAAAAAAAAAAGTCCAACAGAAACTATTTGTCTTTTTAAAACCATGATCTCAAATGACGCGGTTTATTCAGAGCTTTATAAAAGAACGTCTGTAACTTATTTATCTTCTGCATCGAGCGGAAAGTACTTGTAAATCAAGTCAGCAAACTAATCATAAAAAGAAAATGTATTTAGAGCATACATTTTTCCTCCAAAGAGAACTTTCGGCAATAAATCCAGAGGATTTTTGGCAATAAATCAGGCTCGTAGATAAAGGACAAATCACTGCTTCTACCTTTGAGATATTAGCAACCCAATTAAACAATCTTTTACAAAGTGTTAGTAGTAATAAGAAAAAGCCTAACCTCTTGTTTTTCTTTAATCGTTAAGTGAATCTGTCTATAAACGTAATTTTTATCCGTAATAATATTCTAAAGCAACTTAGCAAACCAAAGACAGGATTTTGAGAACCAGGTGATCTTTTCCACCTTACTCAAACTTGCTCAGTTAGAAATTGCCTCACCACTCTATATCCTATTTAACCGCCTTATAGATAACAATTGCTTCCATGATCAATAGAAAATTGCTCTTGTCTAATCATTATTGTCAAACTGCTATTATATCAGCATTATAACATTTTTTTTTTACAAAAATCTTGCATAATGCTGATGTAAAAGCGAACAAAAAAAACTTATTGTCATCAATTTCATTGTTTATCTTATTAAACACATCTGGACCTAAAATAAAAAAGAGAATGAATTGAATTAATTTAAAAAGTAAATATTTCTACCTGGGAAGAAAAAAAAGTTTATGTCTTCGTTGTCAGCGTTTTTGTTTAAATCCAGTTTTGAACTCCGCTAAATTTAAAATGTATTTCAGTTGGAAACTACACCTGATTTAGTGGCGTATTTAGTTAGGAACTGCGGAAAACTATCCAATTTTTAATTATCAGTTATTTTTAACTATGTTGTTGATGGGTTAGTCCACTTGGTTATAAATAAAACATAGTTTTAATAATGCAGAAACATAATAATAATAAAAATTGAAAATTGAAGGGTTAGTTCACTTGACCTTTACACCGTCCATGTATTAGCAAGCTATTTTATTTGGAACATTAAATTTTAAGGAATATAACAATAGCTTTCTTATAGAAATCGAATGTTGCATTTCTAATATCTTAATGTTATTAAAGAAAATCAAAGTTTTTTAATACTAAATCTTAATTCTAAAAGGTACAAAAGAAATATTATATAATTAAACAAAAGCATAAAAGAACAATAGAATTTCTTTTGTTCAACTTTTGTTAAACTTAACACTGAATAAATCTTAACAACTATAAAATTGTTGGAAACAGTTTTAAAACTGTTTTTTTTTCCAAACAAAAACATTTAGTTTTAGTTTTAGGTTTAGTTTCGATTTTGATTTTAATTTTTTCTTTGTAAGTTAATTTGCCACTTTTTTAAATGTATTCAATATTCAGGTCATATCATCATGTCAAAATCTGGAAAACAAAAAACGAAAAAAAATAAATAAAAATTTGCTGACAAAGAAAGTGGTTTCTGCAAAGAAATCTAAATTAATCGCATAATTTTTGTCAGTACAATCCAGAGTTGTTAACAAGGCTAAAAATAGCAAGGCCCAGGCTAAAAATAGCAAAGCCAAGAGTTTTAATGTCAAGGCCAAGATTAAGAGTTTTAAGGCCAAGGTCTACGCAAACATTTTCAAGACCAAAGATTTAAATTTTTGCCTTACGTTAAGGTTAATTATTAACAAAACTGTAATTAGCAAGTACTGTGACAATAAAACCACATTTTGTAAAAATAGACAAAGGTTATGCGCAGATTTCAATAAAGTCAATAAGAAAATAAGTATTTTTTTTAAGGCCAAAGCCAAAACAATCAAGACTAAGGCCAAAAGTTTCAAGACCAAGACTAAGGCCAAGGCCTCAGTTTGTTGCCTTAAGGCAAGGACAAGGACAAAGCCAAGGACTAACAACTCTGGTATAATCACATTGTCTAAGAAATATTGAGTCGAATTTACAGAGTACGTTAACAATAATACAAGCACGAGGTAGTGGAGATATTGAGTCGAAATCGTCTAGTACATCAGCAATACTAATGTTCTCCTGCGATGGTACTGGCCAAAGAATGTTTGTTCTCTTAATTGCGTTGCAGCGCAGTACCGTCACTAGGATGGAGGGGGGGTGGAAGTGCGAAGGGTGTGGATTACATCGGGTGCCACCACCACGACCTGACACAAAGATTTGACACCAAAGTAAAAAAAATGCAAATATGACAGATATGTCTATGTTTGTGTTTGGCCTAATCAATTGATTAGGTCAAATCAAAACCTTTGATTTTTCAATATTCTGTATTAATAATTCTTAAATTTTTTTATTTCACACAAAAATCTTTTTTCTTTTATTCAAGATCAAAAGATTGTATTTTGCTATATCATATATCATAATTTTCTGTATTCTCAAAATTGCTTGAACGCGTAGTTTATAACTAAATATTCGAATAATGTACTAAAAACAACTTATTCTACCATAACCAATTTGGATTTCAGAAAAATCACTTAGCCGAAGGTTTTGACAATAACAAGTTTACTTTACGAGTCTTTATAAACTAAAATTACTAACCAAAGGAGTTTTAATAGATATATCTAAAGCATTCGACACAGTTGACCATTGCATTTTCTTAGAAAAAATTAAACATTATGGTATAAACAATAAAACCTATTTTTGGATTAAAAGTTATTTTGCAGATAAAAAGCAATATATTTTTAATGTCCGGAACATTAAATGTTGTATGCTGAGTTCCTCAAGGACCAATCTTTGGTCCGCTCCTATTCTTTATTTATATTAACGACTTTGTAATGCAATATTTAAACTGAACTCAATAATGTTTGGAGACGGTATAAATTTATTTCTTATCAATAATCAAACATCTATGAATATGAATTTGGAGTTAAATAAAGTAAATATTTGGTGTAAGGCAAATATACTCTCACTTAATAATGAAAAAACAAGTTTTTATTATTTTATCTTTTTTGTAATTACTTATGTGCTCCCAGAAGTCTTTACGGTCTTATCAAAAAGCATTTAACTAAGAAGTTTACGCCTCCTTTGCTTAAAGGCTTAGAGCTGGCGTCGAACCAAAAGGTTTGACCTTTTGGTTCCGAGCCAGAACTCTAACCATTGCGCCGCTAAAATATATATTACGTCAAGTTATAGATTCAAATATTACAATAATTAAAAAACAAGCAAGTGTTAAACTTTTAGGAATTATTGTCAATGAAAATTTATCCTGGCTTCCTGATATAAATTATATACAGTCAAAAGTTGAATGTGGTTGTACTTAAAGATGTAACGGAGGTGTATCGGATGTGTAGCAGAAGCCGGAGGTTTAAACTAAGACAATCAATACCCAGTTTATAAAAAACTTTTAATAAATGTTTTAGTTTAACTTTTTAATTCAAAAACAAAGTTGTCTTCAATCAAAACTCTCAACTTTGATCAAATGAGCTACATTTTCACATTTAATCTTTGTTATAACTTCTAATTTAAATTAATAGAACTTAAGAAAATCAATTGAAGCTTACTAAACCTATCGAAGCAGGAATTGAAGGTCCGAAGCATCTTTTATATATATACGCAATTGGCTATAAAATAATTCGGTTCCAATAAAGTAAATTTGAAATTTTCGTCATACCCCTGATATACTTCCGTTACATCCAAGGTTGTACAGACAAATATTATGTGATTAGTTTAGATTTCTTTGTAGAAATCATTTTCTGTCTGCAGTTTTATTTTGTTGCAAGTTTGACCATACGTTAATATGTTAGGTCTCAAATTAATATATTTTGGGCTAATCCACTATTTCATTAACTATGCAAGTATATGATGGGCAAGTACACAAACAAAAAAACTTAAAACAATTTATAGGCTACAAAAACACCCTTGTTGCATCATATACTTTAAACACAAATGAGAGTATGCAAAACCACTCATGAAAGTTATAAAATTGACAGATATATTTAAAATAAATATTTATTAGCATCTTATTTTTATGTATAGATTCTACAACAGGCCTCTTTTAAAGAAACTTCAACAAAAAGTTTGAAATGGATCTTAATAAAAAGTATGATCTAAGATCAAATAAAAATAACAACTATACAACACAGAAGTTTAATCGAAAGAGAGTTTAACATAATAATGTGCTACTTTTCTAAAATCAAAATTCAACTGATTTAGATTTTAAGTTTATCTTTTTTGTTTTTTGCTATTTATGTTTGTATTGATAAAATAGACAAAAAAAATATCCGCACATACTACACTACTTGCGTAAAACAAATCAAACCTTAGACAATGTTTTTTACGGATGACATAAAAGTTTAATTGAGTTAATCATACATTTTTCATACTTTATAACTAATTATTATACTTAATTACCGCCTTAAATGATAAATGAAGTGAGTACACGCGATTCTTAAATAAAAAATAATTTTAAAGTTACAAAAAAATATTTTAATTGCTAAAGATTATCTAAAGAATAAATGCAAAATTTTAAACTTAAATTCGCTCGAAAATGGGTAGAAAAGCAGTGTCAGAGAGCATCAAATGAAAAATTATTAGACTGGTTAAATCAAACGGTTATAACAACGTTGAAATTATTAAACTTATAGGTGTTTCTAAATTTTGCGTGCAAAAAACAGTGAAAACCTAAAAGTTGTGAGGTAACGTTGTTGACATGCCTCGTTCTGGCAGACCATTGAAGTTTAGTGACCACTACAAAGGTAGCATATTGAGAACCAGTAGAGAAAATATTAGGCTCAAATCATCAATTATTCCTTTTCTAATTGAAATATAAGCAGAGAACTC